GGGATCCAAGGCCAGGCCCCGCGGTGCCGCCGGACCGGGACCGCATCGCCCGCCCGCCGCCGCCGCCGCTTTCCGCGGAACGAGTGGGGGTCCTGCCGCAGCTGCTCTCGAGACGCCGCCGCCGCCGGTCCCAGTGCTGCGAGGGCGGGGCCGCCCTTCCGAGCTGCCTCGTTTGCTCGGCGCGGGAGAGCCTAGCCGTGGGGCAGACCGGGATCGTCCTGTGTGCGGCCCGACATGGGCTGGAGGGGACGGTGCCCTCTGTGTAAGGTCTTGGAGTGACCCACCCGGCGTGGGCTGCTTGTGTGTGCCTGGCTCTCAGGCTTGCATCGTCCCACCCAGTGCTGGTGCGATACACGGGAAGGACACCAGCTCTAGAGGTGCTTTATGGTCTGGGGAGAACCCTGAGCCTCAGACTGGCATGATTTCCAGAAGGGATGGAGCACCGGCTGKGTTTGGAGGGTTCCTCGGCCTCTGCAGTGCTGGGGTCTGCCATTCTGCTTTCCGTGCTTCAGAGGAAGGCAGTGGTGAGTACCTGGAGCAGACCAGGCTGTTGTGGACAGGGGTAGATGTTCCCCCTTGCAGGTCTGTGCTGTTCAGCAGTGTGTTGTGTCCATCTATTGTAGCTGTTCTTGCTTCTCCCGGTGAATTTCTTAAAGGGGGTCACCCACACAGATTGTAGACCATGGACAYGGGCTCCAAGGAAATGTGACCTGGGCTCTGCTTGCCACGTTGGCATTTTGGAAGTCTGTGGGCAAAGGACACTTTTCAGCACTTCCCAGGGCTGCCCTGGCCTCAGCCTGTAACAGAGGGGCTGAAGATGCTATCTCTTCCCAGCCAAGCAGGGCATGAGGAGCCACCCCCTGCWCTTTGATGGGGGAATGCCATGGCTGGGCCACCTCTGGAGCTGTGCAAAGCAGTGTTCCATCCTCCAGAGGGACACSACTGGGCTTTGGTAAGGCTGATCCGGGTCCAGATCCTCCTTCCCTGCCACCAGCCTTGATCCCTGACATCCAAAGGGCCTGGTCACCACCTGTGCTTGGCAGTGGTGTCGTGCTGCAGGGGTCAATCTCCACGGCCATTGCCGAACATAGCCCTCCTTATCTCGCTGCCTTCTAAGCTAACTTGGACAGCTGGCACAGACCCCAGATAAGGTACAATTGCTGCCAGGAAGTAAATCATGTCTGTTGCCCTGCACTGCTCTGCTGGCCCAACCTCCGGTGGGGGTGGGAGTGAGAAGAGCTGCTACTGCTTCGCTTGCCTTGTTTTCCTCTCACAGAGCTTCCTGCCTCTCCCAGCTCACCCCTTGTATTTTCTTTCCATGACTCCTGTCTTCATTGTTCCTTTGGGAGCAAGCCCTGGGAGCTCTGTGKGTAATTTTGCATCAGGGTGCCAGCTTAGAGGGTGGAAGAGGGGGCAGCTCTGCCCCCCCTGGGCTGCCTGCACTCTCCCTCCTTGTGTGTGGCTTTCCAGTACTGTTTTTTGGGCTGGGCAGGGATTGGCTCCGACACTTGTTTTGGGTCACAGAGTGACTCTTGATCCCTGATACCATTTGCCAGTGYGGGCATGGCCTAGGCAGTGCCAGGCTCAGCCTTGTGCTCCTGCCCCAGCACATCCCACCTCCATCCTCTCTCCAATGGGAAGAAGGTGGCTTCCATGTCTCCCTGACCCCATGTGTCAGCAGCATGTTGCAGGGCAGCCACAGCCCCATCCACCTGTGGACAGCATGGAGGAGCAGGGTCTGCCTCTTAGTGCCAYGGTCCCTGCCTCAGCGGGCTGGGACAGGGCTGGCTAACTCCCTGTTTGTCCCCGAACCGCAGGTCGGAGTGCCAGACGAGAGGGGCTGTGTGTCTCTGCTCCCTGCCCAGGGCCTGCCCTGCCCTCCGCCAGCGATGGAGTATGTGGTAAGGACTTCGGTGGAGGGCTAAGTGGCTTCGGTGGTGGATCCTGCCTGCCTCCTCTGCCTTCTGGGAGGGCTCCAGTCTCTTCCCTGGATCTCCACTGGCATCTCCTAACCCTTCTTCAGAGTGAAGGAGAGGTTGTGTGCAGGGATACATAGGTGTTGTATGTTGTGTAGGGGGAAAATCAGCTCTTAGCTGGATTTGAGAGTTCTCCTTTGCTTCGCGCCGGCCCCAGAGGTTCAGCATTGGCTGCAGTTGGACAGAGGGGGTCTCCTGCCCAGGGCAAGGTTTGTATGTGCAGCCATCTGCACCTTGCTGTGATTTCTTGCCAAACCACTGGCACATTCTGGGTCTCTGACTCAAATCCCCATTTTTTTCTTGGGAGGTTGTTGGTAGCAGAGCCCTGAGCATCCCCTCTGCTTCTCTTCCTCACCCCAGGCTGTGTGTGAAGTTCCAGTCTGAGGTGCCTGAAAGCAGTCTGCGTCCCTCWGTTTCTCATGATGCCATGTCTTTCTGTGGTGTCAGGAGCAGCTGGGCCAGTGCACATCCCCCGAAATCCTCGGGGCAGTTGTTCCAGCTGCTCYGCTCATACTCCTCTGTGGGGGCAGAAGGCCCTGCCATCTGCCTGCAAGGGGAAAGGCTGCAGCCTGTGGGACGGGGCTTGGGGCTGCCTGTTCAGGCAGGACTGGTGTTCTGTGCCTTTGCAYACCTCCAGGTTTGCTGTCTGCACTCAGAGCCCACTGGGAGGGAGCTCTGATTCCCTGGCGTGGATGCTGGGGCTGGGGGGCTATAATGGTAGCACCTCTGGTCTCCAAGGTTGGGAGCAGCAATGCAACTTGTCATAGGCTGTTGAGTGATGTGGTTCTGAGAAAATCAGAAATTACTCTGATTTACAAAAGCAGAGATGTGTCTGAGSAGGGGCTTCAGCTGTGAGGCTCCTCAGCCTTTGCTGCCTGGAGTGATGGCTGCTCCAAGCCCTAGGGTGGTGGAAAAGGGCCAAGGAGATATTCCTGCCCCTTTGCAATTCCCCCCTGCTCTTATCCTGGGGATATGTCAGGRCTCACAGAGCTTGCATGCTGGGCAGCCCCAGGCCCACATCCACGAGTGGCCAGCCCCTCATGGACAAACCCCTCTGCCCCACAGCCACTTGATGCCACCCATCCAGGCTCCCTGGGCAGCAAGGCTGCACTGGGCCCCTCACCGGACCAGCAGCTTCCTGGCTCCCTGGCCCCAGGCTTCCTGCTTTTCTTTGGAGGAGTGGTGCTGTGGCCACAGGAAGGTCACAGCGCTTAACAGCCGGGGGCCCCTGATGGGGGTGAACACTCTGTGGGACAGCCAGCACAGTCTGTCTGTGCCTGTGGGACCACCACAGCTGAGGGGGGAGGTGGCTGGCGTTCAGAGCCAGCATCCAAGGAGATGCTCCAGTAACAGGCCCACTATCATGTGCCACAGGCTCTTGCATCGTGTAGGTGGCAATTTCCAGCCCTTTTCTGGCTTTCCTTTCCCTGGCAGTGTGGCAGGTGCTGTGAAGTGGGGCAGGCAGTTGCCAGTGCCAAGCAGTGCTGGGTGAAGGCTCCAAGCAGGGAGAGCCCTTTCGTTGGCCTGGATTTACCCAGTTTTGATTTGATGGCCAGTTTTGCAGAGCAAAACCTGCTGGTTGACAAGGCTCTGGCCCTGCCAGGGGTTGGGTTCTGCCTGAAATCCTTGCCTCACCCGACAGGTGGTGGAGGGGGRAGAGCTCTTGTCTCTCAGTGGGGCCAAGGCTGTCGAAAGCAGCACAGTTGGGCCAGCCCAATTTCCTGCTGCATGCAAGTGTGTCACGGATAGGGGAACAGGGGAGACCTGCCCTTGAACCCCCCGATCCACAGGTGGGAGCTTTGCCCAGCTCTCCACGGTTGAAAGGGCCAATTTTGGCCCCCCACCACGCTCTCGCCGCCCGCTCCCGCTAGCTCCGCCTGTGACCTTGATTTTTCTGCTCCAGATAAGCGCTGCATCCCCACCCCTTGCCGGGAGCCCCTCCTGCGCTGCTCCCCAGCCCCAGCGCAGCCCCCACCGCGGGCAGAGCCTGCCCTGCCGCCTGTGAGTCAGCACAGCTCTTCCGATCAGCCGCAGCCCCTTCATTTCTTCTCCCGGGAGGAGCAGCTGGGATGCGGGAAGCAGCAGCAGCAGCAGCAGCAGCGATTAGCTGCAGCCTCTCCTGCCGGCTCCCCACCACAGCTGGGGGTTCGTGCTGAGCCCTGCCTCGCCCGGCGCACAGCCTACCTGTATCCTGCTCCTGGCCATCCTCCTCTTTCTCCCACCAGCCCTCCAGGCGAGATCTGTACTCTCAAAGGACTGCATGTCTCTGTGTTCCAGGAAGCTGCAGGCACCGGTGTCATCTCGGCATCTCTGCTCTCCCCGGCAGAGCCTGGCAAGCCAGCAGTGGCTGCTCACCCCTGGCACGTGGGTTGTGTGGCACGGGCTGCCACAGAAGGACCTTRTTCCCTCCTGGACAGTGCTCGGAGCAGGGGTGGGATGGACTTGGATGTGCTCTGTGTCTGCCTTGTCTCCGGGCTTTAAATATTCATGCTTTTGATTTCCTCCTAGCGGGCGGCATTGGGGCTGGAATGAGCTGCGGGGCAGGGGGGTGGCCGCGTCAAAGCCAGCAGTAGGGCAGAGGGAGCTGGATCTGGCCCTGAATGAAGACAATGGGATTTTTTGCCGGCTCAGTGCTGGAGGGGCTTGAGGTCCTCCAGACTGGGGACAGAGCATTCTGAGCTGCCCTCCTTGTAGCAGCGGCTCCCCGGGGTGTCACRGCAGCCCCATTTCCTCCCTGCTGCGGTGCGTTGCTCTCACTCTGAACAGATCTGCACATCCTTGCTGACGCCAATCACCATCGATCGGCTGTGCCTGCTCGGTGCCGGGCAGCGCCTGGATCCACTGTCCAGCGTCCCAGGCTCAGCTCTCCCTGCCAGTCATGCCGGGCTGGCGTGGACCTAGCACAAAGCTCRGCTGAGGCTTCTGCTTGGGAGCAGCTTCCAGGCGGCTGCAGGCACTCAGACTCTCCGTGGGGCCCCTGTGGGGCCCAGTTGGCTGCATCTACCCCACTGCCACTCTGGACAGAGCAGCTCTGGCCTTTCTCACCTCTCTCCAGCATGGATCTCCTGCAAAAGAGCAAATACAGCCACCTGCGGAATGAGTCTGTCTCCTCTCTGGAGGAGGCCATGGGAGGCCTGGGAGTTCTGCCCTCCCCAGTGGAGTCCCTTGCAAGCATGCGGTCTCTGCCTGGTTCCCTGTCCTCCTCCTCCCTCAGCCATGCTGCCCCTCTTGAGGAGCTCTCACCTGAGTTGGAGGAGAGCCCTACCACCCTCTGCTCCTTCTTCCCCAAAATGGCCAACCTGAAGCTCTCCAATCCCGTCAACCTGCTCAGCTTGCGGGGCTCTTCAGCCGGCAGCAGCTTGGGGGAACCCGGTCCCGCTGGGATGCCAGCACTGGTGCCAGGGGGTGCTGCCAGCCCTGGCTCAGCGAGRCCTGTCACTGTCTGTTCCCAGGATATGAACAAGCTGAGCTGTGGGAAGAAGACGCGGGTGGAAGGTGGCCAGCTGGGGGGTGATGAATGGACCCGCCATGGCAGCTTTGTCAATAAGCCAACCCGTGGCTGGCTGCATCCCGATGACAAGGTCATGGGCTCCGGGGTCTCCTACCACGTCCGGGTGAGTGCTGGGAGAGTGGGAAGGGTCACTGTGGGGATTTGGGGACCTCCTGGCATGCTTTCTGGGGGCGGGGAGGGGGACATGGTAGGCCAGTGGGTAGAGGGATTCTGAGGGAGGTTACTGCTGCAGAGCTGGGGTGCTTGAGGCCCCAGCCCCCTCCCTGGCCACATGGGGGACAACCCCCATGGCTGGCCAAGCTCACCTTGCTCTCTTGCACAGTACATGGGCTGTGTGGAAGTGCTCCAGTCCATGAGAGCTCTGGATTTCAACACCAGGACACAGGTGACCAGGTGAGCTCTGTCTCTCCCCAGCAGCTGATCCTTTTGGGGAGGGGTGATGAAGTTGTCTGAGTCCTATGCAAGCCCCTGGTAGCATGTGGAGCTTTCAGTGGGGGCCAGGGGCTGCTGCAGCCCATCAAATACTAATACCAGTGCCTTTGSCCACCCAAAGAGCCCCAGCTGGCACTGCCTGAGAGCTTCCACTTTGTCACCCTGTCTGTCCTGTGCTAATCCCTGTGTCCTCAGTCCTGTGGTTGGGGGGTTTTGGGGCAGGGAAGGCACTGGGGGGGATTGACATCTCACTGTACTCCCTGCAGGGAGGCCATTGGACTGGTGTGTGAGGCTGTKCCTGGTGCCAAGGGAGCTGTGAGGAGAAGGAAGGTGAGGTCAGGCTGGGGAGCTGCTGGGGGAGTGTGCATGGCTGGTTTGGGCRCAGGACCAAGGACCAGATCCCAGCCCAGCTGGTCAGCCCAGTGCTCTGATCTCCCACTGAAGCTTGGGCCGGGGCCAGTGGTGAGGGTGAGGTGCCCATCTCTGCTGTGGAAGCAGTGGGATGTGCCCTGCCCTCCTGCTGCTGGGCTGTCGGGTCTAGGGAGCCCCTTCTCCACACTGCCATTTGCCTGCAGCCCTGCAGCCGCTCTCTGAACTCCATCTTGGGCAAGAGCAACCTGAAGTTTGCAGGCATGCCCATCACCCTGACCATCTCCACTAGCAGCCTCAACCTCATGGCCTCAGACTGCAAGCAGGTGAGAGTGGGGAGGGCGTGGGTTGGCTTTAGACAAGCAGGAATTCCCAGGTACCTCACCCCAGGTCTTGCTGGGGCAGGGGGTGCCCCCAGCCTCCCAGAGGAGTGTCTGAGTGGGCTATGTGATGAGTGCCCATCTCCCCSCAGTCCTTGCGGCTGAAGAGATGGGAGGATTATCCCATATGCTTTGTGGGATCTATCCTGGAGATGGTGAGACCCAAGTCTCCTTGCTTGGGGCCAGATCTGGTTTTGATCCCACTCCCTGATGATGTCCTAGTCCTTTTCCTGGTGGCCTTTGGCTCATGGCCAGAGCTCCAGAAGCTTTTGAGCCCCCWTGGCAGGCCGGCCCTGGGAGGAGCAGGATGTGCCACCCCTGGGTGGGTAGCAAAGAACTCCTGTSTGTGTCCCAACGAACTCTCCACCTTGCAGATCATCGCCAACCACCACATGCAGTCCATATCCTTCGCATCGGGGGGAGACCCGGTGAGTATGCAGGCTCCCTGTGCCTCTCCTGCCCTCTCCTGTCTTGGGCCCAGTGCTCCCCAGGAGCCCTGTCTCACTGCTGCTGCCTCGCCCACAGGACACAGCCGAATATGTTGCCTATGTTGCCAAAGACCCCGTCAATCAGAGAGGTGAGGGTGCTGCAAGGGTGCTCAATGCCAAAGCCCCACTTTGGAGGTGTTTAGGATCAGCTCAGTGTAGGGGGGGAAACTGGGTGAGCCATAAGAAAGCTCTGGGGTGTGYGGGGCAGGCTCAGGGGTGAAGAACCTTAGTGCTGGAGTTCCACATTAACATCCTACTGTTGTTCTATCCAGCCTGCCATATCCTGGAGTGTCCTGAAGGCTTGGCACAGGATGTGATCAGCACCATCGGGCAGGCCTTCGAGCTGCGCTTCAAGCAGTACCTGAAGAACCCCCCAAAGCTGGTGACCCCCCAYGACAGGTCAGGGAAGGGGTGTGTGAGAAGGAGGATGGTGGCAGGGTTTCTGAGAYGGGTTTTGGAGAGGAGATGCAGCCGTGGCTGCTGTCACGGGCTTATGTGTGCTGTGCCCTCCCAGGATGTCAGGGTTTGATGGCTCTGCCTGGGATGAAGAAGAGGARGAACCAGCCCCAGATCACCAGTACTACAATGACTTCCCCGGCAAGGAGCCTCCCATCGGGGGTGTCGTGGACATGCGGCTGCAGGATGGGGCTGCTCAGACACCCAATCACTTGGGTGCCACTCTGGTGAGGCTCTGGGCATGTTCTCTTGGGGAGGTTCCATCTTTTAAGGGAGATGGAGGGACCCTGACTGAGCCATCGGTTCTGCTGAAGATTATTCATATCTTCACGGTGTCTCTAGCAGCCTGGGATGTGGGGAGCAGGAAGGGGGATGCGCAGGAAAGGGTGTGGGGGCTCATCACTGCCTCTCCCTGCAGCCTGTTGGCCAATCCTCCAGTGGGGACTATGACCCCCAGAAGCAGCACACTCCTGCCCAAGGTAATGTGATGTGTGTGGTGAGTCTCCATCCTCTTTCGTGGACCCCAAGTGCTTGATGGGCACAAGAGGGAGTCCAAACCCTACTGACCACAGTGCTCCTGGTAGCAGGGAGAGAGAAATACCCAGCTCCAGCAGGCACGTCGGGCCGCACGGACCTGTTTGATGACCCGTCTTACGTCAACGTGCAGAATGTAGACAAGACACGCCAAGCTTTGGCTGCCAGCACCCCAGCCACGGCCAACGGCAGCGCACAGAGGGACCTTTTTGATATGAGTGAGTTCAATGGTGGCCACAGCYAGGGCAGTGGGTAGGTGGCTGTGGGATTGGTCACGGTCCCCCTGTTCCTCTCTCTTGCAGAGCCTTTTGAAGACGCCCTGCGTGTGCCCCCATCTGTGCCCGGGGGGCTGCCCCCTGCCCAGGTAGTGGCCTCCATGGAGGAGCAGCTGAAACGGGAGCCCTGGTACCATGGCAAGATGAACCGCAAGGAGGCTGAGAAGCTGCTGAAGGTGAACGGAGACTTTCTGGTGCGGGARAGCACCACCACCCCAGGCCAGTACGTGCTGACTGGCTTGCAGGGTGGGCAGCCCAAGCATTTGCTGCTCGTCGATCCTGAGGGAGTGGTGAGTCCATGTAGGGGCTGGGAATGGAGCTTGGGATAGGCAAGGGTAGGGGGAGGGTCCTAACAGCTGCAAGAGTCACCAGAGCATTGTGCTTCTGCACTGCTTATCAGGGCACAACTCTGGGCTGGCTTGWGGGATGGAGAGTGCCTGATGGAGCATGGGTGTGCGACTGCAGCCTTAGCTCTGTGCCCAGCCCATGCCATGGAGGGTGGTGGCTCTGGCCGGCCATGGGCACTGACAGCCTCCTGAGCACCCCTTTTCTGGCCCCCCAGGTGCGGACAAAAGATCACCGCTTTGAGAGCGTCAGCCACCTCATCAGCTACCACATGGACAATCACCTGCCCATCATCTCGGCCGGCAGYGAGATGTGCCTGCAGCAGCCAGTGGAGAGGAGACTGTGAGCGCCCGGGGGTCCCAGTGCGCAGCACCCCCGATGTGCAGCCCCCTGGCTGTGTTCCATGCCCCAGGGAACCCTCAGACTCTTCTAGGTGCTCTGCCCGGGACTGAGCATGGACTTGGCTGAGGACAGGGCCTCTCTCCTTTCACCACGTGGAGCTGGTGACCATGGGGGGCTCAGGCTGTGAGTGCCTGCAGGGTGGGGGACTGTTACTGCAAAGCCCCTGCCCCTCCAGCTCTAGCCTTTGCAAAGCAGCTCAGCTCCTACCAAAACTTAGCCCTGCTGTTGTGCCACAGCCTTTCTCGTGCTCACCAGCACAGGATCAGGGCAGGGCTGAGCCCTGYCTGAGCCAGAGGCAGCCTGACCATATCTCTGGCCCCTGGGCCAAGGAGGGGGCCCATGGGGGGGCTCCGCTCCCCTGAGCACGAGGCCCTCGACTGTACCRGATCACTTTATATGTTAATTCTGTGCCTTGACCCCGCAGGTCCCACACTCTTATGCAAGGGCAGGGGCTGGGGACAGAGTCTCCCCCGTGTTCCCAGCACTCTGTACCCCATCCGTGACATGCTTGTGCTCCAGGACATGTGCCACCACGTCCCCTTCCCGCTGTCCACCCCGGCTGGGCACGGACAGCTCTGGCGGCCCCGGAGGGGTGGCGGAGGACCCCCCCTGCATGCACAGTGTAACTCCCCGCAAGCCAAAGCGCAGCCCCGGGCCCCTGGCCCCGCTATACCAAAGGAACTGGCGGTTGTATTAAAGTTGGTATTTCTCTAGGCCCTGGCTGGTGTGAGCTGGGGGGGTCACTGTGGGCTTGTGGTTCCGCTCTGTGCTCCCGTTCGGGCGCTACAGTTGGTCCTTTTCCCTTCCCCTGCCCCAGCCCCTCGGGCATGGTTTGTGTGCTCTGTTACCGTTACCGTCACCGTGCCGCCATCACCGCCGCGCCGCGCTTGGTTCGCTCCGACACGGGGGGGGCGGGGCGGGAGTGCGCCGTGATTGACGCGTCTCGCGCGCTGCGTCCTGCCCCCCGCGCGCTGTGGTTGGCCCCGCAGTGCTTCCGGTTCCGGTCGGGCTATGGCGGCGCCGCGCGCGCTCTGAGGGCTATGGCGGCCCCGCACGCAGAGAAGCTGGAGGGAGCCGTTCCGGCCCCGCCGCCCCCGCCGGGGCCGCCGCACCCCGCGGGTAGCGCTGCTGCCGGCGGGCCCGGCCGGAAGCAGGGGAAGGCAGGTGAGCGCGGGTGGACAGGGGCCGGAGTGGGTGGGGGTGGTCCGGCCCCGCTGACGCGGCCTCGCTTGTCCCCGCAGGGCTGCAGATGAAGAGTCCCGAAAAGAAGAGGCGCAAATCGAACACGCAGGTAAGGGCAAGGCTTGGGGCGGCATGGGGGCAGCGGGGGAGCCGCAGCAACCCTGACCTCCGCCTTCTCTCCGCAGGGCCCTGCCTATTCGCACCTCTCGGAGTTCGCCCCGCCRCCCACCCCCATGGTGGACCACCTGGTGGCCTCCAATCCTTTCGAGGATGATTTCGGGGCCCCTAAGGTGGGGGCGGCCCCSGCCCCCTTCCTGGGCAGCCCGGTCCCGTTCGGCGGTTTCCGCATGCAGGGRGGGATGTCACCGCAGGTGCCCCCTGGCTACGGCGGGGGACCGCAGCCCCTGCGGAGGCAGCCCCCGCCTTTCGCTCCCGGGCAGATGGGCCCGGCCTTTAGCATGCCCCCACAGAATCCCAACTACGTGCAGCCGGGGGGCTTGACCTTCGCTGGGCAGCCCTTCAGCCAGCCTCTTGGACAGAACTTCAGCCCCCCTATGGGGCAGCTCATGCAGGGGCCTGTTGGGGGCTTCGGGCCCATGATGTCCCCCACTATGGGGCAGCCCCCCCGGGGGGACATGGGCGCCGGACCAGCCCTCAATCCCCCCGGGGGGCCGGCAGTGGCTCAGCGCTTCAGTCAGCCCAGCAACCTCTTTGGACAATCGCCCATGCAGCGGCCCGGGCAGAACATGCCACCCCTGCCCCCCACAGCCAGYCCGTTCCCTGGGGCCGATCCCAGCTTCCCGGCTAGCGGCGAGGAAGGGGGCAAGAACCCTCCCCCCAGCACCTTTGCCCAGGAGCAGCACTCGGGCTCCCCTGCCACTGTCAATGGGGCACAGCCCGGCTTTGCCCCCAACAGTGCTGGCCGCAGTGCCAGCACCCCTGAGACCAACAGCCTGCCACTGCCACCCCCTGGCAAGGCCACCAGCACCTCAGGGCACCAGCCACCACCGGGGCTCGTGTACCCCTGCGGSGCCTGTCGCAATGAGGTGAACGACGACCAGGATGCCATCCTGTGCGAGGCCTCCTGCCAGAAGTGGTTCCACCGGGAGTGCACAGGGATGACGGAGAATGCCTACGGGCTGCTCACCACCGAGGCCTCTGCCGTCTGGGCCTGCGACTTCTGCCTCAAGACCAAGGAGATCCAGTCGGTGTACATCCGAGAGGGCATGGGACAGCTGGTGACTGCCAACGACGGCTGAGCCGCCATTCAACCATCATGTACAGCTTCCCCCACTGATTTAGGACCAAACCCCCATTTTTTGTAGCTGTCGCACCCCCACCAGCCAGAGAGGCACTGCCATGCACTGGCTATGACTGCTCACTGGGCATTGCCTGCCACTGGGACCCACCAGGGGACCCAGGATGATGCTGGCCATGCTATCGCCAGCTCTTTTCTGTGAACAAGGCTCTGTTCCCAGCGCACCGGCTTTGGGTGGGTTGAGGTTTCCCGGTGCCTGCAGTGTTGCCCAGTTCGGTGACTGCCCTTGCAGGAGGGCTCCTGGGCTATGCAGCGGGCCTGGCGCCCCCCTCCACSCCCCCTGCTCTGGTGCTCGGGATGATCCCGGTACTCCCACCCCAAGTCCGTCCGTTTTAGCCAATCGTTAATGGAAAGTTTTTGTACCGTCGTTATAAAACTCTTAAACGCG